GTTGTGGTCATTTCTTCTACAATTTCCAGCACGCTCCAACCCTGATCTTGAATGAACTTTTCTACAGCACGGATTTTTCTTCTTCTGCTGCAGTCGAGTGGTCACGCGATCTAGAGTCCTTGAAAATGCATGATCTTCACTTATCTCAAAACTTTAGCTGATTATGATTGAAAGACTTTAGGTTGAACCGATGAATTGAGAAACTTCAACTTGAGCTAGTAGAGGAAAGCTCCTTATTAGTGAAATCGTTGGAGTCCAAAAGTGGTAATGAAGTAACTGTGATGCATGACTAGTCTCAATGTCAGAAAACTGATGCATTTTCGCCTGAAAATTCGTTCCTGAACTTCCTCGAAAATGCATGATCTTCGCTTATCTCAAAATTCTAGCTGATTATGATTGACAGACTTTAGGTTGAAGCGATGAATTGAAAAACTTCAACTTGAGCTAGTAGAGGAAAGCTCCTAAATCGTTGGAGTCCAAAAGTGGTAATGAAGTAACTGTGATGCATGACTAGTTTCAATATCAGAAAAACTGATGCATTTTCGCCTGAAAATTCGTTCCTGAACTTCCTCGAAAATGCGAAAACTTCAACTTGAGCTAGTAGCGGAAAGCTCCTTATTAGTGAAATCGTTGGAGTCCAAAAGTGGTAATGAAGTAACTGTGATGCATGACTAGTCTCAATATCAGATTTCAAGTCATCATTTTGGAGGTTTCATTCTTTTACAAAGTTTTGGACAACGTCATCCTCTTGGTGATGTACCCAAGTTGCTGGACTGAACTGCTTCCTGTGCAAATAGATGACCGTTTTGAAATTTACAAGATTCAGTTGGAATGATCTCTTCTACATCACGGTCCAAAAAGACCACTCGATAGACTGGTGTTGCTATATTTGTAGATGAGCATAAATCTAGTTGGAATGACCTCCTCCACATCACGGGTCCAAATGATCTCCTAGGAAAATCATTTGATATCTAATCCGTCAACCGCTACTGTAGCGGCAGGAAGGAGTTGAGGATGCAAGGGAGGCGGAGCTGGAGCCAGGACGTGTGGCCCGGCGTGTGGATGTCCGCCAGCGACAAGTGTGTCATCGGCGCCCAGACCTCGGGGCTGCTCATCGTCTTCCGCCTCGTCTCCTTCGTCGGCTACTGCCTGTGGTGGGTGCTCTCCAGGCTGTGGAGTGGGGGGATTATGTCCGACACGGACAGCTCCCGGACGGACAGGAAAGCCGGGCACCGGAAAGGCGACGATGGGAGTGGCCAGGAGAGCAAAGTTGACAGGGTGAGGCGCAAGGCGGAAGAGAAGCGGCTGGCTAGGCTAGAGAAGTAACAGATGGAGGCCGAGGAGAGAATGCAACGGGAGGAAGTAGCCAGGCTTGTAGACGAGCGCAGAAGGCAGAGGGCCGATGCTCAGAACGACAATAAGATGGCTGACGAGGGCGGGAGTAGTGAGGCCCAACGCCGGAAACAGGTGAAAGCCCGGTCACGAAAAGCAGTTGATGAAAGTCAAGGCGTCGGTGTTGAAAAAGCAGGACAAGCATGTTGTGTCCGCGACGGCAATAGCTGGTACCACCTCGTCAAGCAAAGCGAACGCAAATGAAGGAGTAAGCCATCCGCGTGGAACCGGATCTCTTGGGCGTGGGGTAAAGGAAGTGGCACAAGGATACCAAGCACCACCAGAGTATCAGTGAGGTTCGTAACTTGTTCGTAACTTGTTCTTCACACTCCGTTGCTTTCAAGTGACACGGGGAATCGTTGTCTGCTCAGGTCCAAGGCTTGGATGCTTCAACTAGCACATCTCCTGACGTCGACGGCGTCCCGCCATCGCCATCGCCATCGCCATCACCTGCTCTAGTTGAGGCTGATCTCCAAGCGCTTCACGACAGTGCTTCCTTGACTAGTCCCCGCTCGTGCAAGAACGAAACCGCCGGCCTGTCACCAGTCGACGATTGTCTTCCTCCTCCTTCCCCGTCCCAGTCCATCTACTCGACGTTCATGGCCAGTGTTCCAGTCTCAGATGCACAACCGGATTATGACGGATGGGTGGCTAGTGACTTGGCTCCCAAGTCGACGTGGAAAATGTGGGAGGCACCCAACCTCGATCTTCCAAGGCTTACTCAGTGCATCAACGGCGTGGATCCAGTGTCGTCCCAGCCCAGCAGTGACCTGACATCGTCATTCCTAAGCAGCGGCCCGGTCGGCATCGTCCCGAGCGTCCCCATCACCAATAACCTGTGGTCCAACTATCATGCATTCTTACAAGTGCCAATCATGGGTGAGTTTAAGGCCACAAGACCAAGTCGTTGCCCATATGTGGCATCTGGCACGACCTTGGTGACGACGTCCCTATCAGCTGCTTTGGTACAGGTTCAAAGGTGGAGCTCATCTTTGAATGCCCCAAGAACATTTTCTCATGGGCTCTTTCCAGTTGACCACGACTTTGATCCTCCTCCTGGTGGAGATACCCTCGGAAACTCTTCGGCGGAGATAGACTTGCGATGGAAATGCTGCTGCAGAGGGAGGGTCAAATAACGTCAACGAACTTGACCGGTCAGAGACGGTCAAACATAAAGTCAACGGACTTCCCGAGCCGTCATCTTCGTGAACATTATCTCAAGGAGGTCACATGCTGGCGAGATCAAGTTGAAAGAGATCAAGTTGCGAAAAGTATTAAGTTAATTTTGGAGCTTCTCGTTCCAACAGCTGGAAGAACCTCGTGTCAGGTGGAATGAATGCGATCCCGCTTGACCTAATTTGGGTATTTGGTAGGGTTTTTGGAACTCGCGATCGATCGATCCATGGCGCTTGCTGCTGCGACGTCATCGGCTCTGGCGGGGAGGATCTCGCTGCTCCCGTCGCTCCCAGCTCTAAGCGAGAGATCGAGCATCAGGTGCGATTTCCACCAGCAGCAGCAGCAGCAGCAGCAGCGGCGGCGGAGGCGGAGCCCGGAAATGCTGGTGCTGAGAGCGACGGGAGGGGGAGGGGAGAGTGTGGAAGTGGAGCAGAAGGAAACGATCCTCCCGTCTGGCGAGTGGCCCGAGAATTTCTCCATGCTCAACTTCGAGGATCTCACCGTGCACTTGGAGCCATCGCTGTTTAAAGCCGAGGTTTGTATTGCATTGCTCCTTGTTTTGCTGGGTAGACAAATTCCTTTCTCTTCCAGGCTCAGCCATCTACATTTCTCGCGGATGTCATGTCCAGGGAGCTCATCACAGCTTCTCCGGACGCGCTGCTGGAGGAGGTCGATCACCACTTCTCGCATATCTCCGGGCTTCCGGTGGTGGACAAGGATTTTCACTGCGTTGGTGTTCTGTCCAAGAAGGATAGAACCAAAGGCTCTAAAGGGGTACGTACCACGATTGCATTGTAGATTTGACAAGGTTCTCTTTTAATCGTTTCTCCAGCTCAAGACGCCTATTCGGGAAGTGATGAGCTCGCCCGCGATCACCTTATCTGCTGACAAAACTGTGTCCGGTCAGTCTAGGTTCTTTCTCACAAACGAAGAAAGAGTTTAATCTATTTCTTCTGCGACTAACACCGAAAGTACAGATGCTGCCGTGTTCATGCTCAAGAACAAATTTCATCGGATTCCTGTTGTAAACAACTCGAACCAAGTCATTGGTAATATATTCTCCCGTCGCGATCTCGCTAAACTCTTGAAATTTCCAGGCATTGTCACGAGAACTGATATCTTCACAGCAATGGAGGGAGGATCATAGCGATGATACTTCGTAACTTACAAACCCGTAAATAAAACAGTTTGCAAAATAAGTTTTCTACGGATTAATCATTAACACCTTGGATAAGTATATTTTTCATATTAGGAAAGCATATTCGATTTTACAAAGTTCTGGTTAGGGCAACGCGATTTTGAGGACAGCTATGGCGGGCGACGAAGAGATCGTGAACATGAGGGAGCCGGACTATACTCCCGCCAGCATCTATGAGATCGATGTTAGGGTATTCTTCCTCCATCCAACTCGCGTTTGTTTTCATAGATCGATTGGTGATCACAGGACAAACACGGCCAAAAAGTTTCCATGAGCAAATACAGAGACAAGGGTCTTTTGATCGTCAATGTCGCCACAATGTCGTGCGTATCTCCTGTTCTCGATTGATTGCATTTTCCATTCCTCATATGATCCATCCAGGGCGTTTGCTTCAAGCATGTACAAGGAGCTCAACGAGCTCCACGTAAAATACGTGGACGAAGGTTCTTTTGATCTTGTGTTTCTTTCTCTGGGATCCTCCAAACTATAGCTTCGATTGCAGTCGTGATTCGCCAGGGCTAGAGATTTTGGCATTCCCGTGCAACCAATTCGCTGCGCAAGAGCCACTCAGGACGGAATATCTTCAAGAGACAGTCTCTTCTCGATTTGGGCCACACTTCCCACTCTTTGAAAGGGTACGAGAGATTTCTCACTGAGAATAGGATCCAATTCGAACACTTGATCGAGAATTTTGACGATGTTTGATCCACAGGTGGATGTAAATGGCCCAAACACCGCAGTTCTCTTCAGGTACCTCAAGGACAAGAGCGATGGCGATCGAATTCGCTGGAATTTCACAAAGTTTTTGATCAATCGAACTGGTGGAATTGCTGGGAGATACGCCCCTCACATACCACCATACAAATTGGAGGTTGGTTCTTCCCATTCTAGCATTTCTTCATCAATTTTCTTTGACATCAGGAAGATATCAAGAGCCTCTTGGCTGTGGAGCTCCCATTTGAGGAAGAAAAGAGAAAGAATGCCCCCGAGGAAGAAGAACAGGAGGAAGAACCCTAAAACGTTTATAATGTAGGAGGGAAAATGGCGCACGTGGAAAATGCGCCAGTGGAAGTAGTGTTTTTAGGGTTCTCAGGCTATGGCATGCGGTCAGAGCCGCCTCAATGGCTGCTACATCGATTCCTTCCACCAGCACCATCGGCATCAGGGTGTGGCATTCTCGCGGCCGGCATTTGGAGCTCGCTGCAAGCTCGCACCTAGATTTCCCAAGAAAGCGCTGGCGGTGGATGTGCGCCAAAATGCGGCCACTGACACGCAGGAGCAGCAGCAGCGAGCCCCGCTCGAGTGTAGCCAGGACGTGATCGATGCCGAGGCGAGGCTGTTCGTCCACACCTATGATCGAGTTCCAGTCGCATTTGTGAGGGGGCATGGATGCAAGCTCTACGACATCGATGGGAAGGAGTACTTGGACATGGCGGCCGGGATCGCTGTGAATTCCCTGGGGCATGGCGATCCACTGTGGGTGAAAGCCATCTTGGAGCAGGCTACCACGCTCGCGCATGTCAGCAATGTCTATCACTCCTTGCCTCAGGTATGGAATTCTTTCTCTTTTTTTTTCTTTTCTCTCGATGTGTTTGCATGGGAGAGATCCAAGAGAAGTTCTTCTAAAACTTCGTTCATGGTTCTTCCAGGTGAGACTCGCAGAGAGATTGGTCCAATCCTCCTTCGCAGATCGCGTCTTCTTCTCCAACTCTGGCACCGAAGCCAACGAGGCCGCGATCAAGTTTGCGAGAAAGTACCAGAGGGTGAAAGCCAAAGAGAAGAGCGACAAGCAGGCATCGTCTCCTCTCGTGGAGGATCCCATCCCGACGGGCTTCGTTGCCTTCTCGAACAGCTTCCACGGGAGAACTCTGGGAGCGCTGGCGCTGACGAGCAAGGAGAAATACCGCGCTCCGTTCGAGCCGATCATGCCCGGGGTCAAGTTTGTGGAATTCGGCAACTTGGAAGCCGCCGAGAAGATCGTCCAGCAGCAAAGAACCGCGGCGGTTTTCGTAGAGCCGGTCCAGGGCGAAGGTGGTGTCTATCCAGCCATTGGCCATTTTCTCGAAGGCCTTCGAGCGCTTTGCTCCAGCACTGGAACTCTCCTAGTGTTTGACGAGGTAAGGTTCAGCACTCTTTTTTTCTTTCGCCAACTTTCCAAAAACTTCCAGGTTCAGTGCGGTCTAGGCCGAACCGGAAAGCTCTGGGCGCACGAAGCATACGGCATAGAGCCGGATATCATGACTCTGGCCAAGCCGCTAGCTGGGGGCTTACCGATCGGAGCGGTGCTCGTGACTCAGGCAGTAGCGGACGCCATCGTTCCAGGCGATCACGGCAGCACTTTTGCGGGGAGTCCTCTGGTGTGCAGCGCGGCTCTGGCGGTTCTAGATCGGCTGCAAGAGCCCGGGTTCCTGGACAGCGTCGCGAGCAAAGGCAACCATCTGCGAGAGCTCCTGACGCGAATGCTGGCACCGTTTCCGCACGTAAAGGAAGTTCGTGGTGCCGGGCTGCTGGTTGGGATTCAGCTGGACGTATCGGCGGCGCCGCTGGTGGCAGCGGCTCGCAGCAAAGGGCTGATCGTCTTGACGGCGGGGGCCGGGGACGTGGTGAGGCTGGCGCCGCCGTTGGTAATCTCGGAAGCGGAGCTGGAGCAGTGTGCGGAGATCCTTGTCAGCTGCATTTCTTCATTGGATTGAACAAGTTTGTTAGGATTATAACGATCAAACTGCGCGAGTTCTTGATAGTGACTGTGTTTTGCGATTTCTCGCAATCGTGCCGACTTAAAAAAGATCTAAGCTCAAGACATAAGCCAATTTACCTATCTATCAATTCTCGGGTCAACTCAAAATAACAAAATATTTCCGAATATTCTCTGTCAGTCAGGACGTTGCTATTATGAAGAACCATATTCCTAGGCAATTAAGGATCATGGTCGGGATTCTCAATACTGCATGCTGCGGAAAGGCAAGTCTATGAGCTTGATATATTCTATGGCGGCTCTAAGGTCTAGGGCTAAGGTTTCATGGAGTTAGATGCCGACATGCCTGATCGAGGCACTACGGTGCGGTCGTTTCTTGAATCTCAAATAGCCGGGAAACCGGCCGTGATTGATCGGGCTGTGCAAAGCCTGGAATCAAAGGGCTACGAGTTTGTGGGGGAGTTGAAAAATCTCACATACGACGAAGTGATCCAGCTAAGGGTGCCTGTCTTTGCTGCTAAGAAGCTTGAGCCGCACCTCAAAGTGCCAGGTATGTCTTCTCGCGCTTCGCGTTTGTTTGTATGGCTATGACTGTTGTGTTCTGCCTGTCCTATGCCCCTTGTTTTCTCTTTGATCCATGTCGGCTAGAGTGTTGCCAAGAGTTTGAAAAAGGTCTTTGTCTCATGTCTTTGGCTGTGTGTATGCCTTCGGTTTCTTTTGGAGATTGTCTCTGCGTGTTTGCCTCAACAATCTATAGAGTATCTTGCCTGGCTCTTTGGGATCTTGGCTTATGAAATCTGACGTCTTTTATCCATGCCTTCTAACGCACAGGTAAGATGCTATCGCTTGATCTTTTGTCTGACTGCATCGTTTGTCGTTCCTTCTAAACACGATTTTTTTGTAATTTTGCAGCGGCGAGAAGAGAGGCCATTACCAAAGGTACTGAACGCCTGCTCGTCCTTTATCAATAGTGTTTGTTTTGCAGGGTATGTGGAAGCTATACTACAGAAGTTTGGGGATCAACTCTCGGGCACTATTTCCAGCATGACCCCTGAACACGCGTTCAAAAGAAAGTTCCCGCTCACCAAGGTTCCAATTTGCCAGATACCAGTTTCGGGAGGTTGGCAACCGAGTCTTTTGTGGCATGATCTGGAGCAGCCTCTTGGTTCTGGAAGGATTCTTTCATTGATTAAAAGATCCAAGCCCAGTCTTTTGATTCTATTCGGCATCTCTGGATCCGGAAAGACACGTTGCTTATACGAGATTGCGGTGCAGCAGACCTGTCTTTACTTCTCCGGCGTGTGTTCCGGTTCTCCTACTGCTGATGGCTCCCGGGACCTGTTGGTTGTGTCCGAGACACTGCAGAGGCTGTATCCAACAGGCCCGATTCCCGTTTCATCCCTCAAGACCTGTTTGAGGGCGGTGATCCTGTCAAGGCTTTTCATTCACCGCAAATGTGACGACCTCCTCAAGCCACTCAGCAATTTGACATTTCTTTTCAAGCAGGTTATGCACCGGCAGCTCAACTATATTCAGGCTGACCCTTGGGCCTATTTAACCGGGTGCATCTTGACGTTGGCGGAGTCAGCACATGATCTTCCTGCATTGGAGTCTGTGTTGAGCGAGATGCTGTATGAGTACACCTGGGACTGGCCGATTGTTTTGGACGAGTGCCAAGAGGTGAACACATATCTGAAAGACAGGTTCATGACAGGGGATGGGGAGACGGGCAGCCTTAGACGATCAATGCTTGATACGTTTGTTATCGCTCTACAGGATGCTGGGTTCAAAAACACAGTAATCTTTGCTGGGACCGGGAGATCACTATTTCATGTGGCCACTCACGTCTCCGAGGTATATTGTATGTGTTCCTGCGTTTCATGAATCATGGCTAATGTTTGCGTCCATAGACTCTGAAACACCGTGCGAGCATCTACTGGTATACATCCTTTGGCGAGTTTCGGGATGGTGAGTCCCTGAGGCAATATGCTAGCAATGTGCTGGAGGATTGCAGCGTCATAGACTTTGAGAGGCTCGGGGTGCTGTACAGAGGAAGATATCGGGCGTTTGTTACTGCTCTTGAGCTCTATATCCTTTCTAACCCGCCTGCAGACGCAGCTACAGGGTTTTTCTTGGATTATGCCAAAAAGACAACATCCATGAGGTACGTGAAATTTCACCAAGCGGCAGAGCTTCTCGACTGATGATTGGAATGCCACAGGGGTGCATCAGCAAGCCAGGAGATACGTGGAGATATTATGGACACAGTGAACAGGACTGTGCTCGATGATGTCTACCGATTTTTTTCACGAGTCTCGAGCGATGAATTGGCGGCAGCGAAAGCTTTAGTTCAATCAGTTGTTGCGAACCACTTCTTTGGTACAGGAAAGGTGGTCGTGCTGAATCCAACGTTATCACTGGTGGAGTTTGGACTTGGGAGACTTAGTTATGAAGGGCACGGGCTGATGCAGTGGGTGTATCAAGGTCACGACGGAATTATTGGGCATGCTGATGCAAGCGAAGGATGCCAAGCTGTAGAGATCTTCGAGCCACTGGTTTGTCGTGCCTTGTGGCACTATTTTCAGGAGAATTCCTCCTTGCAACATATCCAACAGCATCATTTTCTGGAGAAGGCCGAATTAAGTGCCAGTGCCACTGGGGAGGTTTATGAAACTGCCGTTGCAGAGATGATTGGGAAGCATTTAGACAGGAAGTGTCTGGCTGATCTTTTCTCATCGTGGAACACACAGCCGATTCCTGCTATCTACAACAACACTGCAACTCTTGTCAGGCCTAAGGTTGATCACCTGAACCTCGTTGGGACCGAGACGGAGGACTTCCGTTTAATCGATTGGATAAACAGCGTGACTAGCGGTCAAGACAGCTTCTTTACTTTTTTTTCGACGGGCAGGAATAAGACTTGCGGCCCGGACATATGGTGGTTTTTGACAGTTACGCAATATGCACAACCTGAGCAGGGAGACAAGCTTCAATGCGCTGGAGAACCAAGTAGTGGGGAGCAGGCAGACGATCGTCAGTCAGTGACAACTTTCATCATATGTGCAGCTCAAATGAAGACTCTCCAGAAAATGGCAAGGGGTGACTATCAGAAGGCTATCTCTTCGTTGGATCTTAACAAGTTATTCTTGCACAAGAAGGGTGGTAAAAAGGCTGTGACGAGGAAAGAGGACGACGAAGGTGCGAAGCGAGTGAGGGAACTCGCAAGATTTGGGTGCCTAAAACTTGTGGTCACAACGGATTTTGTAGATTTGACGAAGTTCCAGCCAAAGGCTAAGCAACATCCAGCAAAGTTGAGGAAGTTGAACACTGCACATTGTCAACAAGACT